AAAGAAAGACAGACATCGCCTCAGTGGCTTGCATCTCGAAACAATGCCTAAAGTCACACAGCACGAGCACTGGTAAGGTTGGAGTACCACCACCTCAGCATCCCACCACACACTAGCATGCGCACATTAGGAACTGGGTACCATTGACTTGTCCAGCTCAGACACTACCTTAACCAGCAGAGGTTCTGCCTTCTCCAAGAACACAGTAGATAATCCCTCTAGGCAGGAAGGTGATACAAGCCCAGGCAGAAAAAAACCTACAACAAAACGAACACAAGAAAAAAAACAACAAAAAACAAACAAACAAACAAACAAAAACCTGTTGCTGTGGGGGTAGTGGTGGCACCTAACAGAGTCCTGTTCAAAGACTGAAACACATGGGACACAGCTTTATACATGTTATGATCACAGTAGTTATTTGCTTGAAATTTCAATAGACCAAGAAATGTGGCTTCTGTATACCACATATGCTTTAGTGTCTGCTCTGTTCTTCATCTCTTCCTGGTTGTCTCATGTGGGGAGCAAGGCATAGAAGATGCCAGGCTTTGGGAATAAGTTGACTTTGGAGTCTAGTCTTGGCTAAGGGCCTTAGCAATAGTGCTTATGGGTAGGTATGCTGGTTATCTTTTCTAAACCTGTTTATTGGACACAATAAACTCTGTCCCCTGAAGTGTTATAACAATAAACATAATTCACAAAGAGAGCTGGGAAAACAATGGATAACTATGTGACAGAGCATGTTTACTTATGCTGATAACTGAGCAATTATCCACCATGTGGCACCTGGAACAAATCTATGGGCAGCTATGGAGCAATATAATTTAGAATGACTTAGCAACACGCACCGGTAATGAGATGAAAAAAATCCAAGACATCCATCATCCTTTCTGCCTGACACCTTGCTGTCGTTCTCTATCCTCCTGTTTTCCTGGCTGTTCTCAGCCACTGATCTCGCCAGGGTAGCTGTGACTCCTACAAGGGACCCCTGAGCCCAGGCCTTTGGACTGCTGAGGATCCGGCATGGGAAGAGGAGGTGAGGAGTGTCACTGGACTGTCACTTGCCCTTCCTATCACTCCCTCCTGAATCTTCAAACAGGATGTATCCATGGATGTGTATGTAGTGTGCTAGCTGGGTTTGACTGTCAACTTGACGCATCCTAGGAATAGGGAACTTCAACTGAGGAACTGCCCAGACTGGATTGGCCCGTTACCATGTATTTGAGAGACTGTCGATTAATAAATGACGTGGAAGGGCCAAGACCACTGTGGGCAGCACCAATCCTGGATAACACGGGTCTGTGATGAAGTCAGAGAACTAGGCAGCAAGCAGTGCTCCCACATGGCTCCTGTCTTGAGTTCCTAGCCTGAATCCTCCCAGTAATGAATTGTGAGCTGGAGGTGTAAGTCAAATGAACTCTTTTCTCCCAAGTGGCTTTTGGTCACGGCATTAGTCATAGCGACAGAAGGACACTAGAACACCTGTAGTCTGCCCCAGTTGCATAGGGTCCTGTGGTCCTGGGAGACACTAGAGTATATAAATCATAAAGGATTAACTGAAGTGTTATATACAGACTGTATAGCTATGGGGAAGTCACTATCTGTGCTGGAGTGTGGCTGATTCGAGATCACCTTTTCATACAGGTCTGGGGATGAAATTCAGGCCCCTTTGTACATACAAGCAATCACTCTCCTGACTGAAGTATTTCCTCTAAGAAACCTCTCACCCCATACTCTGTATAAATCCAATAAACTCATGTATTCCCCAAGTTGGACTTTGATAGGATTGTACTTTATTTTGTCACTGGTGTCCTGTAAGGAGGGGGTAGAGTTTTGATTAAATTCATGCAACACATCCACTGTTCATGAGTGATGGAAAAGGTAGAAAGATCACTCCTCTCACCAGAGAGCATGGACTTGACCCTCAGCCAGAAGGCTTTCACCACAGCAGCCCCAAATTTCTTACTAACTGTGTAGTAAATGCTCTCCCCAGGACACACAGATGTGAAGGAGAGATGGACTAGCCCCTTTCTAGTTTTCACCTTCCGCTCTGTAAGGAACAGTCCTCTTGTAATTCTTCACACAGTGCATTACAGTCCATGTGTTCGTGTTCCTGTGGAGATCAGAGGTCAACCTTAGGTGCCCTTTCACAGATGACCTAGTTTCTTGAGACAGGATCACTCACTCTTACCTGGAGCTCTCCAATTTGGCTAAGCGGAATGGCCAGCAAGCTCTAGGGATCCGCAGTTTTCTTTCTCCCCAAATGCTAGGATTACACGCATGCTCCACAAAGCCTGGCCCTTTTCATATAGGTTCTGGAGATAGAATTCAGGTCTTCATGTTCAGGCAAGTAAGCACTCTACTGACTGAAGCTTCTCTCCATCTCCAGTAAATTATCACCTTTACTCTATAGGACGAACAATTGAAGTAATGTTGTTTCCCAAAGAATGTGGTAAGGAGGACAGATAAAATAGAGAATATGTGTACACATGAATTTAACTTTTTATTTATATCATACTTTATTCCTTTACATGCATATGTGCTTTGGGTTAAAGAATCTGAAGTTACCACATAGAACATCCTCTATAAAGTTTAAGTGATTAATGTCTTTCAGGCAACCGGGTTGGTACAGTTAGGAACCATCCATGGGAACTTGGCTTTCAAGCGAATCTATTGTGATTCGAGTCTGTACCCAGCACAGAGAGTCCTGGCCACCAGATGTCACCATTTTTCTTGAGACATTTTTTTTAGGGAGTGAGAGCAAGAGCACCTCAACATTCCTGGGGTTTCCAGGAGACGTCCTTTCTTAGGGTATTGCTCTGCCCACTCAGATTTCCTCGCCATCCTTGGACACCACCTGGTGCTTTTGACAGCTCTCTGGAAGCTCACCTGAGCCAGCCTTTCCCTCCAGGTGGATGTAAAAAGGAAGGCTGATTTCATTTGTGTATATCCCAGGGAGCTTCGTGGAAGAGGCAACACCACAGGTGTGTTCTATGAAGACCCTAGAGTCAAGAACCCATTCGCTGCTTGTGACCCAGTGGGCTACTTTACAACCTTCAGAAGAGGAACTCAATTATTTCTAGTTTCAAAATTTCAAAATCCCACAGCCCCCAGGTTTTAAATGTTTCTGCTGGGTGCGGGGTGGGGGTGGGGGTAAGTTAGAGTGAACTCAGCCCAAGAATGGAGACCTCAGGGGGGTTGCAAAGCAGGATTGAAGGAATTCTGCAGGAGAAACCCTTACAGTGTAATTGGGTATTGTGACTGCTCACAGGGGTAGGGCTTCCTGTCATTTACACCCTAGATAATCCACCAGTCCACCCTCCTTCCATTCCAGATAACACTTAACCAGGATCTATAATGCTCCATGATGTAAATGCATGGCCAGCTCCCTGGAGGGCAGACTGATTTAATATTTCATGCTAGTCGGTGTTTCATTGTGGTGCCCTCAGGGCAGGGGATGTGTTTTATTTCTTTTTGAATTTACAGCAGCACGGAGTTTAGCTGTCCAGGCTGCTCATAAAATGCAGACAGAGCAGAGAAAAGAAGCACATTAGAAGATTGTGTGCCTACTGTGGACCAGTCATTGCCAAATCCTTTACAAATATTTCATTCCACCTTCACAATAACCTCATGAAGCAGCCGTTATTACTCTCATCAATAGAACTGCCGAGAGTAGATGGAGAAATGGCTTGCCCAGGGTCACGAAACTAAGGGCGTGGGTCTGGTGCTTGTAATCCCTTCACTCTGGAGATGAAGACAAGAGGATCCGGAATTCGAAGTTATCCTGGGCTATAAAGCAAGTTCGTGGCCAGTTTGGGCTAGGTGAGAACACCCCTCCCCCCATCCAAACAAAATCACAAAAATCACCAAATAGATTTTTTTTTTTTTTAAAGAGAGAGACAAGGGACAGAAATTCCAATTGCTTCTCCCAATTTATTCTACAAAGTAGAAAGGGAGCTCAGGGCGTTTGCTAAAGTTGTCAGGACCCCTAAATAGTTTAGCCCGCCATCTCGCCTCCCCACTGACTTCACTCCTGGAAGGCCTCTGTCCTGAAGAGGCCCAGAGAGCATCTTTCTGGAGGATGTACCGTCTGTATCAGTAATCGTACTTTGTCCCCGACCTTTTTAGAGTAGTTCTTATGGTCTCAACTCCCTCAGTCTAGCACGTTGCCTGCTTCTCCTTGGGATGCAGAATAGAGCGGCTTCAAATCCTTTCGTACAGGCTCTAGAGTTTGCAGACGGTCCCCGAGAAGCTGGGGCTTTCAGAATTGGCTGAGCGCTCTGCCAGGGTGGGCGGGGAATTTGCAGAACGTCCCTGCCCCGGAATCCCTTTGCCTAGGAGAAAAGCGCGAGCACAGAAGCCGAGAGAAGTTGGGGAGGTCGACCAGAGAAGGGTTGGTAGGAACCTTAAATAGATTTCCTTTCCACTCTTTTCTGGTTGCTTGGACCCAGGAGGAACGTCCCTGATTGCGTCTAGGGGCGGACGGTGGACGCGCTGCGCACGGCCCCGCCAGGGCTGGTAGTTTGCAGACCGTCCCTGCCGAGGCCCGCTCGCCCGGCAGCCCTGCGGCTCCCGCGGTGGCGGCGACGGCGGCAGC